AGAGAAGCAGGATGGGGCTGTGAACAAAGCCCTGGGCAGGAATGTTCCTGCAGAATGAAGAATGAATGATGGGCGTGCCACTTTGAACTCTCCTGGGCCTCAGTTTGCTTACCTGTAAAATGAGTGGGTCAAATGAAAGGAATGATAATGCCCCTCACAGAGAGTCTGAAGTTTCAAGATACAGGAGAGAAGTTATACCATGTTTTTGAGAACTCACTGTGTCAGCAGCAAAGTTCAAGTCAAGCTGCTCCAGTGGCTTTGCTAACCTGCTCTTTTTCAATGCTAATTTAGTAAAGAATAAGAGAATAAATCCTCTAGAAAATACTGCTGCATAGCAGTTTTCATTATTTTTGGCTTGCATGTTACTTTGGAGTAGACCATTTATCCTACCCAATCCCTCTTTTCTACTTCAAAAAAAGAAAAACCAAGCACTATTTTTGTTTGAGTAAATCACTATTTGGGTCACTATTTAAAACATTTGCATTGATGTGTGGTTTTTCAGATTCCAATAAGAGTAAAATATACTTTTAAAAAGCTAGTCAAGTCAACTGGCATTTATTAAACACCTACTATGTGCTACGCACTGTGCTAAGCACAAGGATTACAAAGAAAGACACGAGACAGGCCCCACCCTCAATGGCAGCCACAGCAAGTCAAACAGCATAGAGGGAGAGGAAAAGAGGATCCAGGAGACAGGCTTGGGGGACCAACACTGTTAGCAAGTGATGAAGACAGAGATCCAACAAAAGGAGAAAGCTGAGAGGTCACATATGATTCACATTTTGTTCCACGGCCAGACCACCTCGAAACTTCTCCTCACTCTGATAGTCTCAGGTATAACCTCATGCTATCTCATGTAAGCTGTGTTCTAAAAAATCTTATTTGAAGATGATCTGGCCTATAGAAAAATCACCTGGCTTACAACCAGAGTGGTTTCACAAACAGGTCATTCTACTTACCATATGGGAAGTTAAAACGAAAGAACAGGCTTCTCTTTCATGTCTACATAGAGGAAAAGTTTATTAAATTAGTCCCAATGTGGGAAAAAAAGCTTCATTCACTCTTCCAAAAGTTGTGGAAGCAACAAGAGGAAAGGGTCATTTATTCAACATCCTGACCAACAAGGAAGAGGTAGCTGTTAAACCAGAGAAATGATGGGAGCCGGCAGAGAGACAGCATTTCTGTAGATTTTGAGACTGTGGAGAGCAAAGGCAAGCACAGTCCAACATCCCAGATCTTGGGAGAGCAGATTTCAAAGGGAATAGAAAAGGATAAGCAGGATCCCACAGATTCTCCAGAAGAAATCAACCCAGCCAGAATGAGAGACTTTCAAGAATGACGTTCTGGAGACAAGAAGATACTATTAGATGAAGAAAAGCGGAAGTCTGAGGAGGCTAATTCGTATTGACCGGAAATTCGAGGATTTTTGTTTCTAAAAAGACAGTTCTAGAAAATAGGCACAGGGCAGGTAAGCAAACAGGTTAACAGCTTGGAACGTAAGGCTGGTGAGGAATGCTGATGAAGGTGGCCGAGGGATTTATTTATGAATTATGGAAGAGAGGGTCAGAGAAGGGCTGGGCCTGCTCCTTCCCCACGAATGGATGACAGCATACACCAAGGCAGAGATTGAACTATTTAATTCTTTTGCTTCTGTGTTCTCTGACAGAGAGAATGACCTCTGGGTTGGAAAGGACAGACAGAAATGGCCAAGAAGGAGCTGCAATTCAAGATAACAGAAAGACAGTGAGAAATCCCCTCGCTGTCACTAGGCCCAGGAACCTAAAGAACTGAAGATGTAGCTGCTAAGCTGCTCTCAGTGACTTCTGAAGGATCACGCACATGGGGTAGAGACAAGATGGCAGCCCCAGAGGAAGAAGTAGAGTCAAGACCTACCCCACGACTCCTTCAAACAGATCTAGAAAATGCACCAGACCAAGGCCCAGTGGTGAAATCCAAGCAAAAGTAACAGCGAGGAGTTGTTCTTCCAGCTCAGCTTGTCACAAGGGGGCAGGGGTCTTCAGACTTTGGAGACAAGGCTGCACCCAGGGGCAAAGACAGATCGCAACGCCAGCATTGAGGGGGCCCGAGCACAGACTAGGTGCGGCTTTGTGGCTCACCGCCCAGTTCTAGGTCACAGATCCAGGGCTGACTGAGGAAGGAATCTATACCTACATGATGGCATTTCAGGGTGAGCAGTCACCTAGTAAGGAGAAGAGCAGGGTCTCACTTCCAGCCTCCAGCCCAGTCTGAAGCCTACAGAGAAATAACCAGGGCACGGATGTCAGACCAAAGAGGAGCCTGCAATTCTGTCCCTCTGAAACAGCAGAGCTTTCCAATCAGCTGGTAGGGGCCAAGTCCAGCAGCAGTCTACTGGAACTCCAAACAGGGCAAGCCCAGAGGCCAGTTGCTCAGGAACTTGCAGAATTAAGATGAAAAGGGCAAAAACTGGATTCTGCTCTGGATCAGATCACTCTGGAATCACTGAGAGTTTGTAAGTTCTCATCACGAGCTATCCTTGAGGTCCTGGAATAAACAAGACCCATTACAGTAAGAAAGCAGCAAAAGGACATTCCTTCCAGAAGTGCACAGAGGCCAGCCCCAACATCAAGGTTAAAGTCAGGACGTATGTTGAAAGAATGAGCAAACAAAAAAAGAACCCTACCATAAAGAATTATTGTGGGGACAGGAACGTTCAAGAAACAAACCCAGAAGTAGAAAATGACCCTAAGGCATTTACAAGAAAAGGGTCAAAGAAAAATAAACTTGGGCACATGTTTAACTAGAATTCCTAGAAGAGAGGAAGGCAGAGGTGTTTTGCTTTTTTTTAAGTTTTAAAATGTTTCTATAAGTGAAATGATAGTGCTAGAGGAAAAAAATGGAAAAGAAATAAAAGCTATGGAAGAAAGAACTGGAAAGGGAACTGAAAACTTGGCATCAGAGGAAGAAAAACTCAGCCAAGCAACAAACTCCCTAAAACTTAGAATAAACCATATAGAAGATAATGACTCCACGACACAAGAGGAAATATTAAAACAAAGTCAGAAGATTGGATAATTTGAAAAAAAAAAAGAAAAGAAAGAAAACTTAAACGATCTCATTGCAAAAACTGCCCTGAAAAACACATCAAGGAGAGATTGCTTGAGAATCACTGGATTACCTAAAATCCGTGACAAAAAAAAAATAGTCTACACATCACATTTTAAGAAACCATAAAAGAAAACCACCTAGAAAGAATCTACCAGTCACATCCTGAAAGAAAAGCCCAAAATGAAAACTCCCGGGAACACTGTAGCTAAAACCCCAAGCTTCCAGGTCAAAGAATACTGAAAGCATCCAGAAAGAAAGAATTCCAGTACCAACAGTTACAGAACCACACATTACTTAGCAGTCACCACTATAAAGGAGCAGAGAACTTGTAATACGATGTTCTAGAAGGCAAAGGATATAGACTTACCACCAAGAATAACCTCATCAGCTACACTGAGAATAATCCTGAAGAAGGAAAAAGGAACTTTTAATGAAAAAGAAGACTTCCAAGCATTCCTCATGAAAAGGCCAAAGCTGTATAAAAACTTTAAAGTACAAACACAGGAATCAAAAGTAACATAAAAACAAGGATAAACTCTTTGCAGCCTAATACAGGGAGATGATACATGTGACTCCTAAGAACTTTAACATCACCAGAGGGTCTGGGAGCTATTTTGTGATATTGATGGTCTTGAACAGAAAGGGAGGGAAAAAAGAATACAATGGGTGGATAGGAAAAATGAAGAAAATTATCTCATATGGTGGGTGTAAGAAAGTAAAAGTCTATATAAAAAAGGAAGAAGGAGTAGAAAAAATGGTTGATAATTCAATCTCATTTTCTTCTGAACCAGTCAAAGAAGGAAAAAATACACATACAGCAATGGGTTCAGAAATGTTTCACTTAATGGGCAAACTGGAAAGAAAGGGGAAAAGAGAGAAGGGGGAATGAGAGGGAGAACAGATTAAAGAACAGATGAGTTCTAAGCAAAATAGACTCTAAGGATGTACAAAAATATTATTAGCAGCTCTTTTTGTGGTAGCAAAGAACTGGAAACTGAGAGGGTGTCCACCAACTACAGAATGGCTGAACAAATTACGGTATATAAATGTGATGCAATATTATTGTACTCTAAAAAATAATGAAGCAGATGGTTTCAGAAAAACCTGGGAAGACTTGTATGATGCTGATTAAGGTGGGAGGAACCTGGAGAACAGTTTATACAATGACACAGTATTATAAAGACAAACAACTTTGGAAGACATAGGACCTCTGATCAACAAGAGTGACTGACCACAATTCCAGAAGACTCACGATGAAGCCCATTTCTCAACAGAGAGATAATGGGACTCAAAGTATAAACTGAACCTTTTTTTGGATGTGGCCAATTCAGGAATTTGTTTTGCTTGATGATACAGGTTTGTAACAGGGGTGGGAGAGAAAATAATGGGAACATCACCACAGTGTAAGAAATGGCAACTATAAAGAATTTAGAGAAACATGGGGAGACTTATGTCAACTCGAGTCTTATTTCACAGAAAATATAATAAATCTATACATTTACCAGGAGAAAAAAAACCTTAAAAAACAAAAGATCATGGAGAACAGAATTACTGCAAGGCTGGAGAAGAGCAAATGTTGTACAGAATTTTTTTTAAAGGGAGCAGAACCTGTAAACTAAAGGCCCCTGAGCTCAACTTTGATGTTGAGCAAAATTCCAGTACACGTTCTTAAAGACATAGTTCACAAACAACCAGAAAAGAAAATGGCGAGCACGAAGACCCAACACGGCTTTACCAAGAACTGGTCATGTCAAACTAAACCTTAACTCCTTTTTTTGGAGGGAACAGGGTTACTAGACCAGTAGATCTCTTGATATATCTTATCTAGATTTCAGCAATGAACTTGACAAACTCTCTTATGTTATTCTTCTGGACAAGATGGAGACGTGTGGGTTAGACAACAATACACTTACGTGGATTTGGAACTGGCTGAGCGGCTGGACACAATGGGTCATTAATGGCTAGATGTTGGAAGGAGGTCTTTAGTGGAGTGCCCCAGGATCTGTCTTTGGCCCTGTGCAATTTAACATTTTTATTAATAATTTGGATAAATGCATAGATGGCATGCTTATCAAACTTGCAGATGACACAAAGTTGTGAAGAACAGCCAACAGAGATGATAGAGTCAGGACCCAATAACTCTTGACAAGCTAAAACGCTGAATGGAATTTAATAAGACAAAATTTAATAGGGACAAACATAAAGTCTTACATTTACGTTCAAAAATATCAACTTCAGGAGCACAAGATGGGGGAGGCATGTCTAGAAACAAGTTCATCTGAAAAAGACCCGGAAATTTTAGTGGACTACAAGCTCAAAATGAGTTACCAGTACGATATGGAGCCAACGTGATCTCAGGCTGCATTAAGAGAGACCTAAGTCAAGGACGAGGGGCAGGAGAGGTCTGCAGTGCAATGCTCTCTCGGATCCTATCTGGAGTGCTGTGTTCAGTTCTGGGTGCCATATTTCAGGAAGCACACTGATATGTTGAAAAGAAAGTCGAGCAAAGAGAGACGACAGCCCAGGCAGATCAACTTCAGGGCCTGGCACGATTGAGCCTGGAGAAGATAAGACTTAGGAGGAACTGGAGCGCTGCCTTGCCCTCATGGATCTGAAGGGCTGTCATGTCACAGAAGACTCAGACTTATTCTGCTTGATGCTAATAACTGGTGACAATGAATAGAACTGGCAGAGAGGCAGATTCAGGCTTGCCTAAACCCCAGTCAGCCAGAAGCAGGAGATGCTGCCTCAGGAGGTGGGGCCTTTCCTGGTACTGGGTAGAGGTCTTCAAGCAAAGGCTGGGGGTGGGGAATGGATTTGGAATACGAGGCCTCTAAAACCCCTTTCAACTTAAGATTCTGTAAGAGCCTAGAAACTTCATGGGGAAAAATTTAATAGTTTTTAAAACCCAGAAAAATACCTGTTACCTTTTAGCTTTTAAATGGCCCAACAATGGTACTCTCTCAGTAAAACAGCTTATATGCAAGTATCACCCCACCTGGCTTCTTTCGCCCCCTTAAACTCCTGCAGTCCCTTCAGCTGAAGGAAACCTCACTATCACATTAATAATACTAAAAAGACCGGGAGAGAAATGATGGTGAAACTTCCCCTCTATGACCCCCATTGCCCAGTGGTCACACACACGTGCACCCTAACTCTAGGTTCCTTGGCCATCTCCCCATACTCCAACATATACACCAAACCTCCAGCTCCCTCATACATTGAATGTATGTACTTCATACTTCAAAGACACACTATTGCATCACTGAAAACTTTTCCCACACCTTAACATATATATCTTCACAAATTATTTCAGCCACAAAAGAAAAAACTCCCCCAGGAGTCAATATTCGGTGATGAGTCTCTTAAAATCTGGCAAAGCTGGGAAGTTCTCAGAGAAAGGACACCCCCTCTCCCCCACCCCACCCTAGTCCTTGAAGCCTCTCCAACTTAGAAAGAGCAGCAGGAACTTACGCTCTCTTGGCAACATGTCGGGGACCCAGGGTTACCACTACATCATGGCAAAGAGAGGATATAAGGTATAATGTAAGAGAGAAAGCATTTCATCATACACTCTGTTTTTGATCATTTGTTTGCCAATCATGTTGATTAAGAATGAAGCTTTAACTATCCGACATGTACTTCTATGCACATCCTTGTCTTTTTAGATTTCCCAGGCTCATGATGAAACATGCTACCCAGTTCAATAGAGAACTGATGGACTCAGAGGGCAGATTGAAGCATCTTTTTTTGGGGGACATGGCTTAATGCTGGAATTTGTTTTGCTAGACTATCTATGTTTGTAACGGATTTTGTTTTCTTGCTTTCACCATGGGTGGGGGAGGTAGAGATGAGAAGAGAATTAGGAACTGAAAATAAAATAAAATAGGATTTTAAAAAATTTTTTAAATAAAATTTTATTTGTAAAATGAGGCTAACAATACCAGTAACTCCAGCCTCATAGGCTTGTGTGAGGCTCAAATGAAACAACGTATTGAAAGTACTTGATGAATCTTGATGTCAATTATCATGTATGTGTTATATACGACAGTGCCTGGCAAAGCAGGTGCTTAATAAATGCCTACTGACTGACCTACTTAACTCTAAACTCCAAAAGAGTAAAGATATCTTATCTCAACTTCTTTTCTCCTCCAACAGATAGCACAAGGCTCTGCACAGAGTAGACAATAAATATTTGTTGAATTTGGGATCATGTTAGTGTTACCTCAGTTAATCCCAATAAATATCAACTCATAATCAGATGACATGATTAAATGAGATTCATGCTGTCCAGTTCTCAGAGCACCCCACTCTAAGAACCCCACTGGGATACTCCCAATAAATTTATTGAAGAAGGATAGAGTTTAACTCTCTACCTCCTCAAGAGACTTTTACTCAGTTAAACAGGACAAAAGTTCCAACCCAGATGGGTGATCCTCGTCTTTCTAGGAAGACAATAGAGTCCAATGGTATTTCATGTGGCTGTTGCTATCATAATCCTCCAGGGCCTATGTGTCCATGCCCACCTATCTCCCCTCCTAGAAATCTTCCCACTGTTATTACTTTCCCTTTTATTAATGTGATGTGTCACTTTCCTAGACAGAAAAGCATCAGGGTTAGTAACTATGTGGAAACCAAAGTATACAAAAACTGAGGACCAGATCTCAGTGCAAAATGAGCTGAAGGGCTGCCCACATGGGCAGAGTAGCCTCTTTCCCTTTCTGCTCAGACAGACCCACTTCTAAATACATTAGGAAGAAACGGACTCAGGGAATAACACTGACATGAGCACAAACAGTGCTTGACTCAGTTTCTTTAACTCTAAGACCAAACACCATTAGTTTTTAAAAGTTTTTAAAAGTCTAACAAAGGCTTACCAGAGTGAGTCTGCATCCAATTCCACAATTCATCTTTATTTCTCCAAAAGAAATCACCATTGCCAATTGAAATAGTAAATGATTGTTTATTCATAGCCTGGGCACCTTTTCCACTTTGATCTAATAAAAAGGGTTTATCCTTTAGACACACAGACCTCTGGGTCTCCCAAGGCTTGATACTCTTTGAGCTAATGGATTTCATCTTTGACAAAACAATTCCTTTCATGCCTAAGCCACATGAAAAAAAAAAAAGAATTCATTACATCTTCAAAATTCTTTAAACTGGTCAAGTTGACCCCCAAAATTCTCTCTCTCTCTAAAGAAAGTGGAACCAAATCTTCATTAGTATATCAAATGAAAAAGCCAGTTAACAGAAAGTACAGAGTGGTATATTCAAACACAGAATGTTAACAATTCAAATCTGATTGGTGGATAAGCCCCACTGGACTCTAGTGTTCCGAACAAGTTAAATTCACTTGTCAAAATACAGCTAAGTAACCATAATGCTCAAGAAAAAAAGAATTTCAGAGAAAAAAAGAATTTTAAGGCCCTAGCCAGTCTACTGCTTCAAATGGATCATACTTTCATGAAAAGAAACTTTTCATACCAAGACACTTCAGAAACAACTCAAGGTTACCCTTATTGCCATAGAAAAGGTGCTCACCCGGCTGACACATGCTTTTTTTAATCACCTGAACAGCAGCACTGTTTAATGACTGTTAATGAAGCATGCTCAGTGGTACAACGCAATGATTTCATCCTATGGCACTCAACAGGAAAGGATTCCCTGGAGTCAGGAGAAAGCTGAGTTCAGTACCACCTCTCTACTTGCACGTGCTCTCGGTCCCCTCCTCTCATCACCTCCTGCAGATGACAACCTCCATTGTCCTCTCTCAAATCTTCAACCTCTGCCTACTTTACTGATTACTTTCAACTGACTTCAAATATGACCAAGTCTTCCAAAACTTAAAAACAAACGCATTCACTAGAACCTCCAATCCACGCTACCTATTGTCCTATACATCTTCTCTTCCCAGCTCAACTCTGGGGAAAAAAAAACTCTCCCTGTCTCTACTTCTCCCTCTTCTCCTCTCACCCTCTACAGTCTGAATTTAAGCTACTATCTCTATAAAGTTACCAATGATCTCTTAGTTACCAAATATGTGCATCTTTTTTCAGTCCTCATCCTTCTCAACCTGCATCTGACACTGCCAATCACCAGCTCCTCCCAGATACTCTCTCCTGTCTGACTGCTCCTTCTCAGTCTCCTTGGCTGGCTCCTCATCCACACCATGCTACCTGTGAGCATTCTCCAAAGTTCTGTCCCAGGCCCTCTTTGGTCTCTACACTCCTGGAAACCCTATCAAGTCACATGGTTCAATCATCATCTCTATGCAAGTAACTCAAATCTCTATAATCAGCCCCAGCCCCCAATGAAGTTCAATTCCATATCATCAACTGCCTACTTCAAATTGGACATTCCAGGCATCTCAATCTCAATGTCTCTCATTTCCCCCCAATGCATCCCTTCTTCTTCCAGATATTCCTGTAGCTGTGAAAAGCACCACCCTTCTTGACTGACTGATTCTTACAGTCTTCCAAACTCAGCATTGCCTTCCTCTTCTCACCTCATGTCACTTCCACGAATGCCATACCATCTGCAGCCCCTTCTCTTTGCTCACAGCCACCACCTTAGTTTAGGACCTTATTTCTGTTTGTCTTTTTTGGGTCATGGACGTCTTTGGCAACCTGGTGAAGCCTATGGATCCTTCTCAGAAAAAATATTTTTCAATGCCAAAAATAAAACTTACAATAATACTGCAAGTTACAATTATATTGCAAGTTGTTAAAAAAAAAAAGCCTTAGATTATGAGTTCAGATCCCTTAATCCAGATTACTGCAACCCAGTCCAGGCCATTGGAGACCCTGCTGCCCAAGGGAGTTTCCTTAAATGCAGTTCTGAGCATGTCATTCCCCACTCAGATTCTGGTGGGGATTGCCTCTAGGTTTAAAGATCAACTCCTCCATTTAGCCTTTAGAGTCCTTCACAAGCTGACCCAACCTATCTTTCCAGTCTCACTGAATGTTAACTTCCCACTCCACACTGCAATCCAGTGTCACACACTGTCCCAAACACTGTTATCTCTGGACTCAGACCAACCATCTCCCAGGCTTGGAATGCACTCCCCTCTTAACCTCCAGCTCAAGCCTGAGCACCACCTCCCAACCTGCTAGGGTTCTTCCTCCCAAATTACCCCGCATCTAACTAGCAGGTACTTATTCTCTTTTCACATTTATGCTGCAGGTACCAGTCATCCTTGCCATTAGAAGACACACTCCTGGCAAGTAGGGATTGTTTCAATCTTTGCATGCGAAGCCCCAGGGCCCATAACAGGTGTTTAATAAATGCTTGTTGATGGAAGAACCAAACAGGGACAACTATTATACAAAATACTGCACGGTGAGTGTATTAGTTATTAAACCAAAGTACTAGGAGAGGCCACTACCACGGGTGGTGGATGGGGAAGGGCTCCATGGCAGAGGTGACATGGGCGCTGGGACATAAAGGTGAGGATGGGAAGGAGGGCCCTGCAGGTGTGGGGCACACCGTGTCCAGCGGGGAGTGTCCTACTTTTCTATTTGGACCAAAAGGCGCTCAGCACACAGTTCAGTGTTTGGCAGATGCTTCGTTCGATTCCTCCTGAGAGTGAATGACCAGGTCCTTTTGATCGCATTGGACGGGGGTGTGTGGCCAGCCATGTGAGATGAGGAGTGACAAGGGCCTGGTGCCTGGCACACAGTGGGAGCTTAACAGAGGCAGCCTTCGGAAGGAGAAGTCGGAGGGGACTGGATCGCGCTCCAAAGCCTGGGAAGCGATGAACTGAGGAGGCATCGCTATGACTTAAAGTACTGTGGCACTGACCTTCGGGGGCCCCCCTCTTCATTTCACACAAGAGGAAACTGAGTCCAAGCCCAGACAGACAGTGAGGCTGCCGCCGAGCCCCGGGGTGCAGCCCCGCCGCCCACCTCCCCAACACTGCCCAGAACGAGGACGAGGGGCCACAGAGGCCTCCGCACCCCAAGGTCACAGCAGCATGGCGACTACAGAGGGGAAACCTGAGACCCAGAGGGGGGAAGGAGCTTCGGCGGGGTCACCAAGGAGGTAAAAAAGGGCAAAGCTGGGGGCGCAGACCCGGACCCGCACGAGGCAGAGAGAGGAGATGGAGGGCAGCAGCAGCGCCGCGCCCGGGGCTGGAGATACTGCGCATGCGCCCGCAGCTTCCTCGCCGCGCATTGATCCGTCTTTCCCCTGCGCATGCGCGTTCACTTCACCGCCACTGGACCGGGAAACTTATATCCCTCCGCCGCGCGCGCGCGTCCGAGGGCGCCGGGCCGAGCCCTCCTCACCTGCGGCCTTGTCTGCTGCCATCTTCCCCGCCCGCTTCACGCGCCTCCCGGCCAGCGGCGCAGCCGGGACTCCGGCGGGGGCGACCGCCGACTCGCTGTGGTGCCAGCCTTCGCGGGCCTCGCCGCGGCCCTGGCGGGAGCGCGGACCGGCGACCACAAGCCCTCAGCCGCTCCCGCAGCGGGATGATTGCTTTTCCGCGGGCGCTTGGGCGAAGACCTCCCGCCATCCACCGCCGGCGGCCGCCCCTCCCCCTTTCCTGACACGCGACTTCCGGGTGCCTCGCGCGCGGCGGAGGTGGGGGGGCGGGGCCAGGAGAGGAGAGGTCGCGGGAGGGGCGGGGCGAGCGTGGGAACGCGGTCGAGGCCACGCCTCGTGTCACTTACGTCAGAGCTGTCGGCCTCCTCCTGCTCCTCGGCCCCTCCCTCCGGCCCTCGACATCCCGCCCCCCTCCCCCAGGCCCCGCCCCGCTCGGGATCCAGGGGAGGGGGTGGGTGTGTGGGTGTGTGTGCGCGTGCACGCTCTCCCTGCGGGATGGACTTGGATGGACCATCATCATCATCATCATCATCATCATCATCATCATTACTATTATGTTTATTTGTTGCCTGCGAAGGTCTGCTTCCCCGCGGCCTCACTCACCCGCCTTGGAACTCTCCTAACCATTAGTGCCCCTCCCCCACTTACAGAGTAAGCTCCTTGAGGGCAGGGGCTGTCAGCATTCTTGTATCTGTATCCCTGGTGCTCAGCGCCGTACTTAACTGTCTTGGATTTATTTTATTTTTAGGGATGAACGTGGCTCCCCCGAAAGAATGTAAGTCCCTTGAGGGGAGGGCTCATTTTTCATTTTTTGCATCTATGTCCCAAGAGCCTAGCATTTTACAGGGTACACAATAAGCACTTAATAAATGCTTTTTCACTTATTCTCATATTTTTTAATGGATTGTGGATAGCAAAGATTCTGGGACGAGTTTCCAGCCTGCTATTATTATTTTTGTATTTAATACACAAGTGATGTCAAACTCAAATAGGATTGGGGGCTGCTAATTTATGCATAAGAATCCCTGTAAGCCACATGTTCTCTTCATTTTAAAGTGCAACTTTGTTTTGTAGTATTCTTACTTATTTTGTTCACTATTTCCCAATTACATTTTAATCTGGTTTGGGTCATACTGGCTGTATGAAGACACCTCTTCAGTAAATTTATGCAAGTAGTTAAAGTAAATGCTTCTCTGATTAGATAAACATAACGAACCGTAAACTCATCTTTTATAACCAACTGAAAGCCTCTTCATCTTATTTTTTTAATTGTTTTTATTAACTGGGAGGGGGTCAATGCCTGTCGTTTCATTGGTGACCCAAACTCCTTTCTTGTATGCAGATCTGCAAGTTATAATTTTGGAGGAGGTGCAGTGGTTTGCCAAGGGTCAATCCATCAGTATTTATTTTCTGCCAAACCTTTGCAGGGGCTTGGGATCCCTTCCCTACTATTTTTAATGAGCTTGCATTCCATCCGGGGAGTTAAGATGTTCATACATAAGCATATACAGAATGAATATAAAAATACATAATAAAGTATGACATTAAGCATCTGGGCGGGGGCAGGATCAGAAAAGTTTTTGTGCTAGAAAGTAATGCCTGTGAGAGGGAGAAATAGCAAATATCATCTCTGATTTATAGCTGTCAATACTGGGGCTGAGTTACATAGCCAGTGTGTGTCAGAGTAAGGACTTGAACCCAGGTTCTTCTAATGCTGCAATAGCTTCTAATATTATAGTAATATCAATAATAATAGTATTTGTCTTTTATATAGTTTATATTGTTTTGTATTGTATTGTTTGTAAGGTGGATAAGCATGGTACTAAGGCAAAGACTATTGGATCAGCCATCCTGAATTCAAATCCCATCGGTCACTTACTGTCTGTTTTGACTTTGAATAAGTCACTTCATCTCTGGGGCTCAGTTTCCTCACCTGAAACATGAGACAGGTTGGACCTGATGACCTCTTAGGTGCCTTCTGCCTCTAAATCTGTAAGTACACTCATAAATGTAGTCTGTTGACTTTAATCATGACAGTTTATATTTCAGTAGCATTTTTCATACAGGATTTCATTTGATTCTCACAACAATCCTGTGACAGGTATTATCAGCTCCCTTTTACAGGAGAGGAAAGTGAGGATGAGAAAGGAAGTGCTTTGTCCAGTCACAAATCTGAGGAACAGGAATCCAAATTCTGTTGGTTTCCATGATGCCATGTAGAGCAGAAGGTGAGACCTTCTTACAATGAGGTAATAGATATAAAGTATTTGGCAAACTTTAAAGCTGGATCAAAACATTACTTATTATTATTATTACTTTTTTCTCATTACATTAGCACAAATATGTTTAGATTCCTTCACAGTACATATTAGTGGTGTGAGAGCTGCACTAAAAGTTACCTGAATCAAGGAGGCCAGCGTCAAATCATTTGGGATTGAAACTCCGAAAGTCTTGCCCTAGTGGCATCGGCCCTAAATTGTCTTTGGCCCGAAACCTGAAAAGCCTGAGGATTTGGCATCCCCAGCCAAGCTCTGCCATGTCAAGACATTGAAATAAATCTACAGTTTGTTGAGGACAGAAGTCACGTGCCCACGGACGGCACTTGTGTGAATGTAAGTGGTCTGTTGGTTCTGCATTTCCATTTTTATAGTCACGTGGCACATCACAGGTGGATCTTCCCGTGGACCCGAGCTGCTGGTTGTGCCCATTGTTCTAGCTGTAGAACTGTAGGCCGGTCACTACATCTCTCCAAATCTCAGTTTCCCCATCTGTAAAGCGGGGAAAACAATAGTCCACAACCCACAGTGTTGTTGTGAGGTTCAAATAAGATGTTTAAAGCACTTTGTAAACTGAAGCCTTTGGGAAATGCTTAGCCATTATCACTCTCCTGATAACCCTTTGCCCTTTCGAGATGTTTTCTTAACAGACTTCTGATTTGACTCACATGGGGATCTCCTAATGAAAAAACTCCCCTGTCAACGTAGATCAGCATTACTTGGCAACTCTAGCTTCCGAGTGGCCTGGGACACCATTAAGTTAAGGGACTTTCCTGGCCAGGGTCGCAGAGTCAGTGTGCTTTGGTGAAGCTGTGACTTGACCTTGGGGCTTCTTGACTCTGAAGTTGGGGCTTGGTCTACTATTCCACTCTGCTCCTCCTTGCCCTTTCTATCTTGGGGTAAAAGAAGATCTTCCTCAAAGGTCTATCAGGTTCCCCTTGCAATGTGTGTGGTAATTTTTTTGCATCCTCAGTGATTTATTACTATAATGTGGTGGACAAACGAAAATGCTCTATTATTGGAATTATAACCATGCCCATAAGATTCTTGGGCCAGCTAGGTCCAAGTTCAAATTTTGAATTCAAATCCAGCCTCCAACACTTACTAGCTGTGTGACCCTGGGTAAGTCACTTAACCCTGTTTGCCTCCGTTTCCTGAGAAACTGTAAAATGAATTGGAGAAGGAAATGGCAAACCACTCCAGTGTCTCTGCCAAGGAAATCCCTAAAGGGGTCATGAAGAGTTGGACAGGACTGAAATAACTGAACAACAAAAATACAACTTATTATCAATCAATTCACAAACATTTATTAAGCTCCTTCTATGTGCTGGATATTATGCTAGGTGCTTGGAATACGAAAACCAAAATGAAACAGCCCTTGGCATTGAGAAGCTTTAATTCTATCAACCATAGGATTCTTCCCGTTGCATTCACTGTAAATAATAACAGGGATGGCCCGTCACTTTTTATCCTGAGGTAGCTCACTGGAGCCCCCTTCTGGGGACATTTCCACATGATAGAAAAGACACAGGAATAAAGGCATCTGGAATGGACTTTGTAGGTCTTCTAGTTTAACAGGTTTTACGGGTAATGTGGCCCTTCGCCACCTGGAGCACGAGCCGTCACCATTATGGCCCATCAGGGAAGTTTGGGGGGCGGGCTGACTTTCAGCTGTCTAGGCGCATTGGTGAGAGTCCCCCAGTTGGTGCTGGACTGGAAGAGCTGAGGACTCAGGGGACCTATTGAAAAAGGAGACGTTCTCTAGCTGCCCTCTTGCCTTCTGTCCTTCAGTAGACGGCATATAATTCCAACGAGGGTAAAAGACAGTCCTTGACTCCAGTGTAATGGTGGGTATGGAGGGGCACCGCTTCCCACGTGGAGTGTCAACTCAGCTAGGCCGGCTTATCCATAGGCAGGATTCCTGGTTGCCTTTGCCTTCCTCTTGCGTGTTTCTTACAGTATCCAGGTAGCCAAGCAGGACCCTTCTGGGTCCCCAAAGGTGAGAAGGTCTTCCTTCAGGGCTGCAGCGTCCCCAGAGAAGCAGTAATGGAGAGCAGGGGGAGCCTCAGAGAGAGAGTCCACTGGGAAAGAAGATTAAGTTTGGTTGTTTGATTGGAAAATCCCAAATGGGGGGCAGCTAGGTGGCGCAGTGGATAGAGCACCGGCCCTGGAGTCAGGAGGACCTGAGTTCAAATCCGGCCTCAGACACATAACACGTACTAGCTGTGTGACCCTGGGCAAGTCACTTAACCTCCATTGCCCAACCAAAAGACAAAAAAAAAAGAAAGAAAGAAAATCCCAAATGAAATGTAATGTGACTAACTAGTATCCTGCCCCAAAAAGCCCCGTTTAATGTCAAAATACTTGAATATTAAACTGATTTTACTTCTAGCAATAAGTTAAATTATTGAATTCTATTCGAATCTTTCTGTTAGTGCATACTTTGGTTCCTTTAAACTCAGCCTACCTTTTTTGTGAGTAGGCATAAATCGCCTGCCCTATCCCTTCTTCAGGTTTGCCCGTTGGAAACCCCTTAGACTTTGGAGCTGTATTTGGTTGGCACCTTTCCATGCAGTAGCCAAGGTTGGGGCTTATGAGCCAAGAAATGTGAAGACGGGGAGCCTGCTTCCCCCCTAGAAGTCAGGCTTCCCCAGGGCCTGTGAGGAATGAAGGTTCCTGCCCCGTGGCCTGAGGTGAGCAGATTATGTACAGCTGAGGAAATTGAGGCCGGGAGAGAAACCTGTCCAGGTTCAAGCAGTCAGAAAGGCGCCAGCCGGCGCCTTGCTCCTTTGATCCCAGAACCGCTGCCCTTTCTTCCTACCATACGTTCTTCCCCATGCCCCTGCAGTGTTCATGTGTGAGGACAGATGAGCACACAGAGCTCTCACCACCAAAAATGTTAAGTTGAACTTCC